CGCTGAATGGCTTCCAAAGCCCAACCCTAAGTCAGTGCATCTGGGGAGCCTGTAACTTGCCCATTTGGAATAGGTTGGCAAGTTAGTGGCAAAGCCAAAAGGCAAATCAGACTTTCAGACTGTTGAATGGCTTCCAAAGCCCAACCCTAAGTCAGTGCATCTGGGGAGCCTGTGACTTGCCCATTTGTAATAGGTTGGCAAGTTAGTGGCAAAGCCAAAAGGCAAATCAGACTTTCAGACTCTTAGCTTAGAGGTCAGCAAGAGTGGACCCAGAAAAAAAATCTGTAGTCATAAAATTCAAACAGTACCTTCTCAAAATTATATGCCATAGCTGGCCTTCACTGCAAAAATGCCTTTATGTCAAATGAGATGCAGTCTGAGACTGGGGCTGAGGACAGCTTGATCTGGATTCAAGCTTATAGTTCTGTTGTTGACTGAACAGCTACGATGTGATAGTCATTTAAGATACCAGGCTGGAGAGGTAACTCAGTTGTTGAATACTTGCCTAGTATGTACTAGGCCCTGGTGTTCAATGAAAAGAAAAAAGCTTTAAATAACTCTTACAAAATCATACAGGAAGATTTTACTTTCGTCTTTAGCACACGAAGTAATTGAGGGTCAGAGACTTTAAAGAATTTGCCTTAAGTCACAGAGCTAATTTCCAAACCAAACTGACTCCATAGCCCAGCCTTTTCCTTCTGCCTTACCTCTGAATTAGACACTCTCACATTCCTCTGTGCTATTTCAATTCCTGATTCCAAGAACTCAAAACTCCCTTTCCTTGTGAATATGAATGTGCTGCTGAATTTTTCTTGCCCGTTATTTACTAATATGTCAGAAACAATTGATTCACAAAATGGTACAAAGCTGTCATTCACAAGTCAGACTCTTCTAACAATAGAAAGGAAGTCAGTTTTTCTTATAGGAACCATGAAGTCTTCCAGGAAAATGGCTATCTCTCCCCTCTGACTAGCTTAACCCTTAAAGTCCAGGGTAGGGCCTGTGTGCACTTATCTACACCTAGAGCTGCTGCAATCCCCTATGGAGGAATCCTTCCCCAAGACAGGGAAGAGCATGGCCTCTGATCCCAATTCACAGGATTTCAGGTCTTCCACTTCCTGTCCTGAGTGATGGACAGACAGCAGTCCCCAGAGTCCAATCAACCAGTAGCAAGAGGCTAATGACACTGTGACTGCCTTGGTGGCTGCTGAGGCCCAAGATCCTCTACTGCCTGTACCCCCGAGCAGCCAATAGAGATGAGGCAGTCAGGTGGTATCACAGCCAAAAACCAGGATGGTGCAGATGCTCAAATGGAAGCACCAAAGAGGTGTGGTGAGAGACTTGGGAGGCATAGCCAATGACAGGGGTTGGAAGAACAGGAGGTACACATGAGCAGAGCAGTGTCATCTCTGAGAAATCGTATTTCATTTCCAGGTCTTGTTCTCCTTATTGTCAAAGGAGGAGTTTGGCACTACAAGATGTCTTCCGGTTTCAAGGTCGGTACTAGACAGGGGCACAGGAGTGAGGCAGCTAAGAGAAGCTAACAATGACCAGTCTCAGGAACCCAGACAGATACTCTTGGAGTTCCAAGACAGGGCAACTTGATTTTGTGACTGCTGTGGCTCTATGAACATCACATGTGGGAAAGGGGATGCTTAGTAGATACTAAGACAGAACCCAAAGAATGCCTCTTTTGCTGTTCTCTGCTCTGTATGCTGTGAGCATCAGATTCCTCATTGGGAGGTGCTGAGTACGGGAAAGGTGTGGAGGGAGAGCCAGGGGAGCAGGCTCCAAACAGCTCTGCTTCCCCGTGGGACCTGACAGGAAGGTAGAAAGTTCAAGGTTGTCCCTGGAGATCAATAAATCAGGATCTGAGCTGGGCTGTGACTCTGGGGACAATGGGTGGAGGAGAGGGAGGCCACTTGGCTTGCTAAGGTAAAAGTCAAGCTGATAAGCCTGTAGCCATACTTCCAGGCTGGTGGAGGAACTGCTTCCACACAGTGGCCTCAGGTCCACTCTACTGAGCACCTCTGAATTTCAGGTCCCCTGACTTCCTGTCCAGTGCTCTCCACCCTGCCCTGCCTTCTCTCAGTCTGGTGATGTCATACCTGAACCTTGGTCAGAAAACATTTACTCCAGTGATGAGCTGAGGAGTAAGAACCAGGAGTCCCTGTGATGAGGGGTTGCTAGAGGGCTAAAGGAACCAACTGAATAAAGAATGCAAATCCTTGTTCAAGTATTGCTTTTTTAAAATGGTTCTGATTTGCATTTGGGCCTATGGAATCACAGCCTTGCATGGTGTTACTACTGAATGGAACCAGAGGGATCCTTCTGCGTCCCGATGCTTCATGGAAGGGCACTGAAGACCAGACGGAGGAAATGCCATACAACACATAGCACTCAGAGGACCAGAGCCAGGGCTCTCTTCTCCCAAGTCTGGGTTCTTTTGTCACATGGTCAGAAGCAAGGTGAGGACGCAGACCAAAGCTTCTGGTCACACTGCTTTCAGGTGGGATGGAGACCTGCAGGTCCTGTCCCCCAGGATTCCTCTCTGAGTTTCCTAAGCCGCTTTCACCTGACCTGAGGGGCAGCCTAGAGCTCTTGAATGTATGTGACCACTGCCCAGTGGGGACATGATACATTACAGGAAGCAGAGAATATTTTTAAACCATCCAACATGCCTCACAAAGAAAAAAAAAAAATCAAAGAGCTCCCCTAGATGTGGCACAAAGCATTTCAAAAAAAGATTCCATGCCTAGAGGAACATCATAAAACAGTGTTAGGTTTTTGTTTTTAAAGGGCCAATTCTCTCTTAACAAAAGTACTTGGACTAGTAACCCACTTCTAAGATACCTCCAGAGTACTCCCACTGCACAAGAACAGACTGTGACCCCAACAGTTCCCCTCCTCACATTTCTACAGCTCCTATAGATGAAGTAAGGTACGAATCCCCAGACTCACTAAACCTTCCTACTTACTATATCTAAACTTCACTATCACGGCACATAGAGACAGTAAGGAATCAGCTCACAGGTTCAGGGAAAGAGCTTTGCTTTCCATCTCTAGAGAGGTCTCTCTCTCTCCCTCTTTGAGCTACTTCCCGCTGACTTAGAGTTTTATCTCTTAAAGTTCAAGTCTACCCTTACCTGCTTCTCTTCCTCCTCCCTGGAGTTGGCTTCTTCGAGCTCTGGCTGCTGTTCAACTGCCCAGTTATTTGCTCTTGAGCCTGTCAGTTGCTCCCCTTCCACCCTCTTTTTTATCCGTATCCCATAGCCCTCCCTCCTCCCACTTCTTCCTCCTCTTTCTCTCTCCACCCCTTTCCCCTTCTGGGTCCCTCCCTCCCCTTGTCTCTTGTGCTCTTAGAATCTTTGCGCTCATTTAAAGTCTTCTCCTTGCAGCCTCTCCTCACCATGCTCTCCCCAGAGAAAGCCGCTCCTCCCCTGCCGGCCTCCCACTGTTGCGGTGGCTGTCCTTGTCAGCAGTCTTTGCAGCTTACCCTCGCCTTGGCTGGCTGGGGCAGGCTGCCTCCCTGGGTCTTTTCCTGCACACCCCTCTGCTGAAGCTCTGCAAAGTCCCCAAACCACAACCAGCCCCCATCATGGCACCGGGCTTAACCTGAAAGTTGGAAGACTTTCAGTTCCAAAAGATGGAGCTGCAATTCCCCAGCATCCAGTGTGCTCTCTCTCTCTCTCTCTCCCTCTTCTCTAACCAAAAGATAGCAGCACTGTCTGTCTGCCTGGTACTGGCTAGGAACTTCAGATACGTGACCTGTTTTATTCCACTAATCATTCGAATTTCTGGTTTTACACAGTAGGCATTTTCTGCAACATATTTGAGGAAACTGAGGTTCAAAAAAAAATTAATAGGATCATGGTGACTCTGTTGAGTGTCAAGGTTAAGATTAGAAGTTTTACCCAATGCCAAAATTTGCCTCATTGCTCTTTCCACCAAAGCATACAGGTCTCCTTTGATGCGGTGGAACCAGAAATG